CAACCAAGAAACCAAGCAAACGACCATCCAAGAAAGCAGGAAACTAAGCAAGTAAAAAAGCAAACCATGCAACTTACAAATAAAGCAAGCAAACAACCGACAAACGAACCAAGCAAGTGGCTAATTAAACTCTAATGCAAGAAACCAAGGAAGCAGCAAAGCAACAAAGAAAGAATGTTAGCAAGTAAACGGCCAATCAAGCAATCAATCGTGCTAATAAACAAGCAAACAAACAATCTACCATCCAAGCAACTAATTAACATAATTCAATAAGATTAAAATTTAACCTTGCGCACATTTGCTCTACGGTAATAATGAGTAATATAGAACTATCATATTGTTTGCATTTATTAAACACAGAAATAAAACACATTGGAGCATACATGTAGTTAAATGATTGGGGATGGGAGGGGGTAGTGAACACACTGGATACTGAATTCTTCCTCTTAAACTTAATTTTCAGTGCTTGAATGAAGGCTTCCCTTTAACAGATTTAGGGAGTTTCACTACTAGTTTCACTGAGATTGAAGTTTTTCAATTGCCTTTGTTATAACATCTTATTTCAATACACTGGATATTATGTAAAAGTATTGATGTGTATTTCTTATTCCCGACAATCGAATTTCATATTATCAAACATTTTAATTATAGTTTTACAGTGGTATCACAACGTTATTGCTTCTATAAATGCAACACATTTACCAGATTTTGGATTGGACTTTCTACACGATGATAAAATATTTTCTTGGTGATATTCTTTAATTACTACTAATTAGTATAAACTATTGATTGAATTGCAGAAAAATCTCGAATCCTGGTAATTGAAGTTGGACAGCTAAATAAAATCTAACATTAAATTCTAAAAATGTGTTTCTTTTATTTTTTGTTTGGTTGATAATGAATTAAAAAAAAGATATTTGAATGAAAAATTCAATTTCGCAAAAACTCATATTCTTTAGCTGGACAAAAGCTATAGTTTGTTTATTCAACGGATAATAACTGAATAATTGGAAGCGCTAGACGCATAAATGCAGACGGTTCTTAATTGCTAATGAAAACAAAGCGATAATCAGTTGGGGGAATAATCACTTGACATAATAATCAGTTGGAATTTTTGCCATTGGCTACACATTAATAAGAATTGATTATCGTAATAACCAGTGAAAACACTGGTTATTTTTGATTAATAAGTCTCGATAATTAGCGATAACCAGCAATAATAGTCTCGATAATAGGTTTTAACCAGATAATAATCATTTATTCACTGATTATTTGTGATTAAAATTGTTTATATTTGGTCACTTCGCCCAGTGAGAGAACTAGAGATCATCTTCGTGTTAGGATAATCAGTTATATTATTTTCCATTGGCAGGAACATAAATTGCGTCATTCCCTATGGTACATTAAATTCAACGCTATAGCCCCAAATGCTATCATTATTGGTCCCCTTTCCAAAATAAACATTATTCGTAGTTTAAAGTAAAAAACAACATTTGAAACTTGCCACGTCCTGGCCCCATTTTCAACATTAACGTGACATTAAACATCATCAACAATAATTCCCATTCCTCTTGCAGAAATTGCAGGCACAACTACTCCTAAAATAAATACTTCAAATAATACTTTTAAAACTGCAAACAGTTGGAAGAGCGTTTAACACAATTCATAAAAAAAAGTTCGAGAATTTTTGCTGTGTTCTCTAGCCTGAAGAATCAACGAAGAATTCTCAATTTAAGTGGATACTTTTTTACCTATATATTCGAAATGTCCACATGCCGTTGTGCTCTGACCTACATGTAGCCACACAAATTTCAATGACGTCACAGCAAAGCGGGGATTTGTTGGAGATTCACACTTAGATAAGGAAACAAAATTTTAATTCTGACAAATTGATACTCGTATAACGGAATTACGGAGCAAATTAAAGCCACGACACCCAAAATCAGGTGTAAGTAAGGGACGGCCTAAGCCCCATGAGAAAAAGTGCTACTAAAGCAACTATTACGATAATGCGACAAGAAGTCACACGATTGCAAGTGGGTGTTTTATATTAGAATTGTTCCGTATTGATTATTGACCTCAAACAAATCTAGGCTTTGCTGTAGCTAGATCTATTTATTTACCAAGTGATTGAACCGGTAATTCAATTGAGTGAGAAAATGTCAACTAACTTTTGCCTAGCCACTTTAACTACACATCTCGTTATACATTGTTTAAAGGTGAAATAAGGTAAACCAATAAGATGAAAGCAACCTTTCAAAAATTGTTCCAGCCTTAACTTTTCATGTCTTTTTATTATAAATGTGCCTAGTCACATTTATTATTTTGCGATTTTTATACTTTGAATATCTTTTTGATAACTTCACCATTTGATCAGATTCCCGTTGGGATATGCTATGTCTGAGATTGAGGAGAATACATGTTTATGCCAATTGTACGTGTTACTTGCAATAATCGAATTGGAAAGTTATTTAAGTCATTTCAAACTACAAAACATGTACATTTTAGCAGATAATAAATTTGAATATCAACATTTTTAGAAAATAAATTCATGTGTATCTAAAATTATGTTCAGTTAATTGGATTCTGAATTTCAAGATGAAATGTTAATTACTCTCAGTTGGGACCAACAGTGTGCCTTAGGCCCAAAACACTATCATATCCTTCCACCTCACGATAGGGATAGTCATCACGTGACCTTCGCAACTGATGGTGTCTGAACAGCGGGTAAGATTTTCTCGATTAAGCAAGAAAAACGAATAATTTTCATATTTATACTTTGTTAAATACTTCAAATATCGCCATCTTGTGCATACTATCTAAGTCTTTCAAATGAACCTAAATTTACAAGCAGAGGACGCATATTTTTTGAGATATCACTGTTTTTTATTTCGAAAAATGATGGTGTCTGGACAGCTCTAAAATTCTGCATGATGGTGTCTGTACAATTTTAAAATACACTACTTGGAAAGTAGTCCTCGTGTTTTCGTGTGTTTTTCAAATATATCCGCTTCTTTCCAATGTGTTGTAGCACTTGAACATGGTAATTTAGAAACTCTGCTTTCCAAATCCAAAGAGAGGGGCATTCTATGTTATTTTTTTTATTCCAAATGCTATTGTTTAATTTTGGATTAAACCAAATCATCCTAGAATGGTGATGTTTGGCTGTTATCACTGCCATCCATTGGTTGAATTTCCAACACTGAACGATTTGCAAATCGTGCGTGGGACAATCACCCATCAGAGGATTTTAAGATACATTGTGTATTGTCACCAGAAACTGGGCGATTAAGTTATTTGATCAGACGTTATTTATCCCTTATTACAAAAGATTACTTGATGTACTTGAATAAAACAAAATAAAATGAGTTTCATCAATCGATTTAGACTGCCCAGGGATGGTATTATTCAGTAAAGCCTGTCACCTTATGAGAGGCCAGAGAAACTATGAAATTGTGGTGATGTAATTGGTTGTAGGTAGAAATCTGAAATCAAAATACAGGATTTTTTCGTGATGTCATTGTCCTGATTAAAGTCAATTGCTCTGCAAAATTATTGAACATCATTTTTTTAAAAATAGCGCCATTCATTCGACATTCAATAGGTAAAATCTACGCTAAATTAAGTTTTAATATGTGTTTGGATTTGCTAAATGGAATTTTGTGCTTCATTTTGTTTGATCACAGCAAGGGGAACGATGAATTTAGTCTCGGGGATCGTAAACTCAGCCCAACACACGAAAGTGTAATTGTTTGCTCAATTGTGGATGGTGATTCTTGTGTGCAAAATCATCATTTACAAAATTTAAAATGTGAAAATATGATAAAGAATGTTGCAAAGGACAACTTTGACCTTAACCTTAGATTTTCAAATGGAGGCCGGGCTTTCATTTTTTCATTTTTTTATTTTTTTGTTTTTATTATTTTATTTGGTTTCATTGACTTAGCATGTGGATATCAGCATGTATCGACTTGATGATATCCTGATGTTAAGTCAATTATTCTTTCAAATGAGATGGGTATAATGCTCCATCTTTACCTTGGGACAGCCTTATCTTGACATTCTAGGCATGTTACCAATTTTCCTTAAGTTATTATTCCAGTTGTATAGATATATTCTTAATCCACTCTGTAGCACGAGTATAGTCAAAATTCAAAATGGTACAAAATATTTCGAAGCAAATGCAGGAGATATACAGTATACACACATTTCAAAGCAAATGCGTGACATACCTGTTTGCAACTCGCGTGAAAAGTCCGAAAAGAATGCGTTCGCCTGTTTTCGACGTTCGTTTTTACCGTATCGGCATTTTATAAAAAATTTTTTTTTTAAATATAATGCGTGATTTGCGTGACATTTTATCATACATGAAAAATTGATGCGTGATTTCATTTTATCCAGCAAATGCGTGACAATCACGCCTAATGCATGAGGGTTGCATGGCAGCTTATTTGTAGTGACACTTATAGTGACAGATTCTTTTGATGAAGGATAAAATAGCAAAATTTTGCAATTCTGGCCTTATTTAATAACAAAACAAACGTTAGATCTGTAAGACATACATGTAGGCCTGCGAGTGCACTAATGCATTTACAATTCAGCATAGACGAAGATTGAATGATCTTATATTTTAAAAATTGAACCCTTCAAAGACTGTATCATGCCACAAGTATGTGGGTCGGGACGTGGGTGTACGAGGTACGAGGTTTTAATACAGACTTGAAATATACAAGAGTACAGGAATGCGTAGCATATAATAAACAATTACACATGAAAACATGTAGACTGGTATCCATGTCGCGTATTTAAAAAATCTGTACAGACACCATCATTCAGAATTTTAGAGCAGTTCAGACACCATCATTTTTTCGAAACGAAAAACAGCGATATCTCAAAAATATGCGTCCTCTGCTTGTCAATTTAGGCTCGTTGAAAAGACTGAGATTGTATATATAAGGACGCTGTTAACAAATAGTATAAATATGAACAATTTTCATTTTTCTGTCTTAATCGAGAAAATCGTACAACTTGTTCAGACACAATCAATTACGAAAGTCACGTGATGACTATCCCCACCGTGCACCTGTTGTGTTGAGAACTGTGGATATGATTCCTGAAAGTACTCTGTAGCACAAGACATTTGAATTGATGGCGGGAGTAGCAGGTCAGAACTTTTCATGACCAATCTTTTTCAATTTTTATCCCTGGTAGGAGGTTATGTTGTACTTTAAAATGGTATACGTGGTTGATTTTCTGATTGAGAAAAATCAGTTCAAATACGATATGGTCCTTTGTATCTACATTGTCCGATTAATTGTGTTCTCCCCGTTAGTTTTAAGCGAAAGCCCCTCGACTTCAGTGAAACACTAAAGTTACCATAGGGTGGTATGCGTTATCATTTGAACAGAACTTAAACAGTTCTTGTTAAGTTGACAGTTTTTTTCGAGCTATCAGTTGTCCCGATTGTCGTGACATCTATAAGCCATTCTAAGGATCATTTCCTCAACCGTCATGCTATCGTGGCGATTATTGTCAGCATCAGGAATTTAAATATCCACTAGTTTCTTGGCATTGCTCCTTTAAAATAAAAAACAAAGGAAGGGATAAGATATAACCTGAACAAATCACAGGTGTGCTTTATCAATATTTAATGCCTGATCGACGTTATCCGTCTTAGATGTCCAATTTGTCTGTCTCGAGCTCATTGTTTAATTTCACTCAGTATGTTAATATAGAAGACACTGATTTTATTACATATCAACAACTATCATTGAGCAGATTAGATTCATAACATTGGATTGTCGCGTCTGATCACGTTTTATGTTTTGTTATATGCGGCTGATAAACGACTTTCTGAAAATATCACAGGGGCCTCAATAATATCAAAAATTAAGCAAATACTTCATTCTTTGGAGGGCAATACCTGTTCATCTTCCAATGATTGAAAATCATTGAAAGTGCAACAAGTTTTGCCTGTTTCTAGCAATGATATCATGAATGGAGGTTATTTAATGGGAGAGATTAGACATGAATTTTTTCGAGGGAAAATATAATATTGACCAAGGAAACTATCATATTGACCATTGACCGAGGGCGACGGCCCGAGTGTCATTATGATATTTTCTGAGGCCAATATCATATTTTTCGAGGAAAAAATTCACATTCCAGTATGACCATCAATAACCTATTCATTCCATAATATTTTTCTGAAACTTTTTTGTATGACGTCACCCAATGATGGTGGCATTAAATGATACCATTTAATTCATCAAATGACATTTTCAACTTTTATTAACACGTTTTAAAATAGTAATTTTTTTATTTGTTTATTTACAGATAGCACAATAATAGAGCAATAAAAATAAGTATTCATAGAAAAAATTATTTTTCTGATAATGTGAGGTTAAAAACAAATTGATGCAGGTTTTAAAAAGTTTTAACAGATGTGTCTTCATGTTTTGATAAGCCTTGGTTTATCATTTCCGCATATTGTCTGTATTATACGGTTACGTAGACTTTGTAATAAATATTATGCTTACGACACTGATTGCATCTCAAGGCACAATATTTTTTGTATACGTCTTGTTCGCAATCCACAACATCATCTTCACAGATCAAGTTAAGGGAATCAACGTAAAGATGGTCGGCTTTATTTTCACATCTTTCTGAAATATAAATTGTTCGTCCATTTCACCACTGTTCAAGATTCATTGAATCATGAGTAATGTGCTTCATTCTTATCACACAAAGTGGAAAATAACATTTGTATAGCAAATATTTCAAAAATGTTTTCCTTCCACAAGTGCGTTAAGAAAAACAAGACACACAGTGATAAATATCGCACTTTGAAGAGCAAACTGGCAACCATGCAATTTACCCAGCATGGCCAAAACCTAATCAGACCTTGGCACTAGTCTGCTCTTGCATCTGTAAACATTTCAAGTTGACAAGGTTAGCGGGTTTCCTGCAATTTTGATGACAAGAATTTATTTGTAGTCTTGAACTTTGGGAAAATTTAGATAACATTGTTTGTGACCTAATTTGATGACCTTCGACCTTGAAAATTTCACTTTTTCAGACCTCAGTAGGTGTTTTGTAATTAAGCTGACCTAAATTTAAATCCGAAATATCAATTTAGAAAATCAAATTTTGACCTTTTCAAGGTCACTGAAGGTCAACGAAAGGTCAAATCTGAAATCTAAGGTCAGATTTGAACTTCTGAGAACTTGTAGATGTTTTTAAAAAAAAATTGGTCAATTTGGAGCAAGTTGAAAAATTCAAAATGGCCGCCAAATTGAAAAATTCAAAATGGCCACCATGTAATTCAGCCAGCATACCCAAAACCTAATCAGATCTTGGCAATAGTCTGTTCTTGCATCTGTAAAAATTTCAAGTTGAACGGATAAGTGGTTTTCCTGGAATTTTGATGACAATATTTGTTGAAAAATTCAAAATGGCCGCCACGTAGTTTACCCAGCATGCCCTAAACCTAATCAGATCTTGGCACTAGTTTTCTTTTACATCTTTAAACATTTCAAGTTGAACAGGTTAGCGGTTTTCTAAGAATTTTGATGACAAGAATTGATTTGTAGTCTCAAACTTTGAGAAACTTGGATAACATCATTTGTGACCTAGTTTAATGACCTTGACCTTCGACCTTGAAAATTTCACTTTTTCAGACCTCAGTAGGTGTTTTGTAATTAAGCTGACCTAAATTTAAATCCAAAATATCAATTTAGAAAATCAACTTTTTTGACCTTTTCAAGGTCACTGAAGGTGAATGAAAGGTCAAATCTGAAATCTAAGGTCAGATTTGAACTTCTGAGAACTTGTAGATGTTTTTTAAAAAAAAATTTGGTCAATTTGGAGCAAGTTAAAAAATTCAAAATGGCCGCCAAATTGAAAAATTCAGAATGGCCACCATGTAATTCAGCCAGCATACCCAACACCTAAGCAGATCTTGGCAATAGTCTGCTCTTGCATCTGTAAAAATTTCAAGTTGAACGGATAAGTGGTTTTCCTGGAATTTTGATGACAAGATTTGTTGAAAAATTCAAAATGGCCGCCACGTAGTTTACCCAGCATGCCCTTAACCTAATCAGATCTTGGTACTAGTCTGCTCTTGCATCTGTAAAAATTTCAAGTTGAACAGGTAAGCAGTTATCCTGGAAATTTGATGACAAGATTTGGTTTATGTCCCGCCCGCCCGCACGCCCGCCCAACAGCACAAGACGACGACAATATAGCACTTTTTCAAAGTGCGATAAAAAACGAAAGAACATGTTGTATAGATTGTTGAAATATCAATTTTGTTCACAGTTTGTAGAAATCGTGAATGCCAGACATGTTCAAATATGATATATTGTGGTATAGTAAAACCTTAGAAAGCAGTTTACATTGTATAAGCCCTACAGCAAAATCTCAAATATAATTTATTTTTAACTATACCACAATATTTCATATTTTATAAATTGCATAACTGGATATCATGAAGAATAGATAGTTTGTCCAGACCCTAATGAAAGGTGTTCAAGTAAAGAAATAAAGAAGCTCACCATCACAGTTTGGACCTGCCCCATATTTACAGACGCACGAGCACGTTTCTTTGTCAAAATATCCTGTCCCAAAAGATGAAGAACACGTGCGCTTTCTGCAATCTACAAATTGATATTTGACCCCTTAACAATCGTGTTCAGTTGGTGCCATTTATACAATGTATTCAATTATTCTTGCATTTTACAACATGAAGTTTACAATTTAAAACTGTTAAGGTGAAGTTGTGTAAGTCTGTTTCTATGATTGTAGGCGTGAAGCCTGTCACCAGCGATCTTAAATTAATTGGATACTCGGTTTGACCAACCCATACTGTAGTCAATTATGAACAGATATAAAGTTTTCCATTATACGGCTTCCTGCAGAGCAGCTAAACAATTTCACTCATCACATATACTTTATTATTAAAGGTTGAATGCCGATGATATTAACACAATTGAACATATTGAACAACTAATTTACATTCTTTTTGTTGCTTGGTTGAATGGCTATGAATCCCAAGTTCCGATGTGTCTCATCATGAAGACGATATAGTGACAAGGAATATGTCAAGTGGAATTTATAATTTTTGTACAAACCTTCATGGATCGAGAAATGTCATTTTAATTCGATAAACTTACGTAAGGTGGCGAAGTGTCTAAAGGTAGGTCATGTGACACAAAACAAGGACTTATTCACCAGATGGGGTAGTTAAAAGGAGGTCAGATTTACAATGAACAAAAGCCGTTAAGCTCATCTTGAATTTTGCTCTCGCAGTCGATCAAAAATGAAACTTCTTTCGTCGATATCAAGGTGAGTTTTTTTCAGGCTCCGGTATTTTGACAATAGTAAGTTTAGGTCAAAGCCATTCCTCAGGGCAGATTTTAGGCACCAACGATTTATTTAGAGTTCTTCTAATTAATAAACACTGAGTTATCGGCATTCCACCTTTGTTTTACATTATCATACATTATATTGATTTGCAGTAAACGAAAGGGATTGTCGAAGGGATTGCCTAATACTAGTATATGGAATATTGGAAAAATCAAAAAAGTTGTTGGACATTTAGAATCTACAAATTTCGACCCAACTTTTAATATGTTCAGATCATCGCAAGACTAGATTACATTGCTAAAAATATATGTGTTCTTGTTAACATTGACCACGTCAAAATATATGCAATTGTATTATATAGCTTTATTGTTCTATCTGTAAACCATCTTGCTAGTTTTATGAACGAACTATGACTGACATATGTAGTAAAATGAAGCATTGAACTTACCACACTTTGAAGGTTTCTCTGCAGAACATGGAACTAAAAAAAATAATCTTGACATTGTATACATTATTGCTGACTCGACACTGTACACTATTACTGTTGATGCTTGTGTTTTGTGGAAGAGTTATTAAATGAACCGTACACGTACACTTTTATTCACGATGTTTTTAAATGAAAATATAAACTTATGGAGGCTCTCAATGCTCTATTTTAGGTCCTTCTCTCTTTACAATATATGTAAATGATCTTTTCAAACAAGAGGACAGAAAGCCCCAGAGTTTAAAGATGACAGACATAATTACCTCTCTTGCTTGCCACCTTCGTTCGTTCGAATTTTCATCGGCTATTAATCAAATTTTTAATTGATATAGGCATATTCCGTACACCTTTCTTTATCTTGGTGTGAAATGAGAAGCTATGATATTGGTTAACACGCCAGAAATGAACATAATATTATTCGAAGCGTATTTCGAAAAATTTGAAACCGCCATTGATGACGTCATTTGTTTGTCGACTTTTGACCAAGCAGCGACGATGTCATCTCAATACAGATTTACATTATAAGCGTATGTCATCTTTGAACCCTGGTGTTTCTCCCCCTCTGTTTTCAAACTAGCTTAGTTGATTGTTTGCTAAACAACTAGTGACGAGCTGGAGATCTGTAAAGAATATAACGTCAGTGAATCAACTGACAAGAACTGGTTTAAACATGATTTTATGGGTTTCTTAGTTTATTTTTGTTCGTAAAATATGTTTTAAAACCTCTGTCGATAGAATTCAAGTTTTAAGTTATTTCTGTTCAACATCAATACAGAAAACCCCCTATGACCCCCGGTCAAAAGCTCGCCTATTTTCAAAATGGCCGCCATTTTAGTCTCGCAAATTTCACTTTTGGACTGTATGGTAGCCTTATAAATGATTTAAGGTGTTCTGCATTGTAAAAAAAAAAATTTCATTTACTATCTGCCAGATAGCCAGGTTTTACCTACGTTCTGTCCGATTCTGAATTGTTGTTTTTTTAGATGTGCATTGCTTCTGGCGGTTTATGACACATTACACAAGAGTTTTTCACATTGGTGATGAATGCCAATGTTTGTGTTATTAATATAACAGACAAGGTAATTTGAACTATTGACCATGCAGTATGTGGGCGGATGTTTTGCGTTATATTATAAATAATGCCCAGGTATACATATATATAATGCAACGCAATTCAAGCGGTGACATTTCACGTTCTAACATACAATACAGAGGAGACAGGAGACATTCCAGTATTCATATGGTAAATATAATTTTTACATTTTTGTTAACTATAATATACAATAAACAATAAATAATATAACGGATATGTTAGCTTGATATCAATGTAGCTGCATAGTAATGCTTAGGAAAACAAACATTTTTAAACCTGTTCAGACAATTTTAACTAGTTTATAAAAGGTGAACATGTTTGAATTATGATAACTTTTAATTATATTTAGTGAGTGGTAAGTGGCGGGGTTGTCATGTATTGTTTCCTCGTGCTTTATATCAACATTTCAGTGAAGTAGGCTTTGTTCAACCTTATGGCTGGTTGTGTCCTTAGATTAAAGACAAATAGAAAATATTTCCAAATATTTTGACATTTTAAAACATTGTCGATTTTACGTCTAAATATTGGAATACTAGTATGAATATATAATTCCTTTTTTATATTTTTGTCATGAATGTAAACTGCAATTAAAATAACAAAACATTAAAGTTACAAGGCATTATAACATTACAAATAAAAATATTACCACCAATGTGTAACAATAGTTACAGAACAAGACATCAGGCACCCCGCCGCCCCAACGATAACAAAAATATATCTTTCTATGAGCAACATATCGTTTTTCTTGTAAAACGTTATAGCATTTTAATTTTAGAATTTCTAATGAAACTTGATTGAAAGTGACTTGAAAGTTAGACCGAAATACACAAAAATAAATTGAATTGGATATGATTTTATGACGTTATATCTTTAGTTGTACTGTAACAAAATGCGAAATGACATTACATTACAAAAAATATCAACACCAAGTAAATCATTGGATATGGTTACTATATGTAACAATAGTTACATAACCAAACGCTTCGCACCCCCCCAAATAATAAAAAAATATTTTTCCTTGGCACCATATATAGAAATATGTTAAATGTTGTCACATGTCTAAATATGTTGACAATACAAATTTGGCAAAATGTGTTAGAACTCATGCATAACATGTTTAGATATTGTACACATTTGAAATCAGTCTAAACAATACTCATTGGAAGAATTAGTTACAGACGACGAACACCGACCGACCAACACCCCCCAAAAAAGATTGGAAACAATAACAATACCCCGTCATAAAACAAAAGTTCAAATTTTTGGACTTTTTCGTAAACAGATAAGATATATATATATTGGGTGTCCCGAAAAAAAAGTCTCGACAATAGATTTGTAGAATGCTTTGAGAATTCCTATAAAAGCCCAAGTGGTACAAATATGGCAGCGATCAGTTACATATTGTACGAGTATTGACAAATTCAAAAATTAAATGCTTATCAAAAAATTAAATATCAGATCTGCGCAATGAGACAATCATAGCCTTTGTGCCAGCTTTCAGGTGATAGCATCTGTCAATCAGTTTTAGTCTCAAAGTAGGTTATCTTAGTGTCAGGTTTATTTTTATTTGTTTCAATGTTCTCTCTGTATTAAAATTCCGGTCTGTCCAAAATTTCAGTTTGGAAGGATTAACGATGGCTTCCAGTGAAAGCAATAAGGTTACTAATGAAAAAAAGTTTCAAGGCGAAAATATGGGGTGGAAGATGAATCGTTAAGGAATTAAGAACAAAAGTGTGGAGTCACGTAACTGTAAATAGACTTCTGAACAAAAATGCACTCCATCCAACATGCATTAAAGGTCAGAATAATGATGTCAATGGAGGATATAACAGTGATGCCAAATTTTTCATCTATTGCTGAGAAAATATGTGTCAAAATGTGGCTCGCCTCTTTGGAACACCCGATATACCAGTTCAGTTTTAATTACACCTCTAACGATTTTGCAAATGAGTCTCACATTTTTCCTTTCCATCTTTAAGTATTCTTGAATAAATATCTTTTTGGGATATAAAGCTTTTCATTTAGTTGTTCTGCAACATATAATGTATGTTGTAAAATTCAGTCCGATTAATAACCTGCAAAAGTGTAACCCGATTTTATTAATTATATCAAGTCTTAACTATAACCCACGTCATTGTTGTGATATACCAAGATATTCATAGAAAGAAGACTTATATGTGTGGATGGAGGATAAAGAATCAATATCACCGCTTTATTACAAATAGATATGTCAATCTTATTAAACTGTATACTAACCACACAAGTCATGTTGACAGAAACCTGCTTTTGGTGGACATTTTGTACACGGTTTACCCTTTTCAGCAAGTCTTTCTTGTACATCTATCACTCTAAAAATCAAAAAGTCATATATGTGAACGCTTGAATTTTAGTTTTAGAAGTTCACCCCATGTAGACAGATCGCCTTAAATTACATTCGTATGATGCAAGACTCGACATTCACCTGGAAAATAGAAACATTCTGTAACCCATGAGGCAAATTGATTTTTTACTGCTTAATAAATGGTCAATAACAGTCACATTGAGTTCTACTAAGTATAAGTATGAGAATAGCATGACGTCTTGATATTTCAAGGTACCTCGTTCGAAAAGCGATGTTTTTTTACACAGATGCTTTTTATTGACCAATCCTTCGATTTTCTTACCAGTGATACATCATTCAGTTATCTATCAACTCTGGAGATTTGAAAACAAAACATGTAATATATTTTGATATATCTTTATATCCGTGAAGGAGGTATAGGTACCCCGGGACCGACATGAGACGTCAAACATTCTGAGGCTATTTTAGCTTGTTTAACATGCAGCGCAGTTGAATGCAGGCTGAACAAAACAAACCATTGTGGTCATGAATCACCCCATGTTGTTATGCCATGGTTGATTTTGAATATTTTATCACTATGTAGTATTCATGCCACATTCATCCCACAGGGCCCTCTAAATAGTTTCCATCAAGTGCTACATGTACACAATTCCTCATCCTCTAAACTCAATATTGTGAGACAAGGCTAAATCCATTCTCTGACATGGTAGCAAGATCCAGTTGCACTGGGTGTTTTATTTCATCAATGTCAATAAACCCGCGTCCTTTCTCTATAGCAATAAGTAGTATACTTGAAATAAATAAGTCACACGTGGGCAGATTTGGACAATATGGTGCATTGGTCAAGGGATACATTTTGAGGTCCAGGGATATTGTATTCTGAACATTTTGAGATCTTTGGGCATGTGCATTGTCCATGTGGAGTAGGGTGGACCCTTCTCTCACCAACCCCTTCTACACAATGCTTTCACAAATTGACCTGCAAACCCCTCCCATACAATACTCTGACAGCACAATACTAACCATTTAACTGTTACCAGTCAGCAAAATATTTCAAACAACACAACACTTGTTGCATATAACAAAGTTCAAATCCAACTGAAATTTGCCAAACTGGCTAAAACATGTGATGTTTATTTCTTAGTCTTTCAAAGAAATCTATTATATATTTTGTTGCGGTTTTATCTTTACATCGTTATTTTAATCACCGCCATAATTTTTCGAACGAGTTACCATGAAATATCAAGACGACATGCTATTCTCATACTTATAGAACTTAATATGACTGTCATTCATCATTTATTAATCAGTAAAAAATTAATTTGCATCATGGGTGACAAAATATTTCTACTTTCCTGGTGAATGTCGAGTCTCCATCATTCGAATGTAATTTTAGGCGATCTGTCTGCATGGGGTGGAATTTCTAATGAAACTTATCATGTAAACTGAAACGCACAAAAATAAATTAAATTGGTTATGATCTATTGTCATCGCCGTTATAATCTGAAGTTCTAATGTACCTGTAACAAAATGCATCCCATTAGCAGATTTGTGTTTTTTGTTTTTATAATTAAAATATTTACATTTGCCTCATGGTTTGCCTCAGTGTCGAATTATTTTTTGATCTTTTTTTATTATTAAAAAACATATTGACTTCTGTAATATATTCTTACATAGTATATTTTACACATTCACTCCATTTCACACACATCCTTCTTCATTCATTCCATATCTTATTACCATTTTCTTTACAATATTTTAAATACATTTTTTGTACACTGGTAGTTCTCGTAGCAATGTTTGATTATACAAGAAGTATTTTGCAATAATTATAATCATATTTTGGTATTTGCTCCATCTTTTAGAGCCAAAGAGCACATTGTTTAAATCAAAATATTAGATGTGAATGTGAGTGTTATCAATCATCAGCGTGTATATAGATCTTTGCAATATGTAAACACCCATATCTATAACCTTATTCATAGGTATTAGGACCATATAAAGAAAGGGAACTACATTTTTTCTTGAAATGAACGTGTCGTGAGTTTGGTGACAAATTAAAAAAAAGAAAGATGATTAAATTTCTCTTACCCAGGGCTATACGCACAAGCGAAGAAATTAATTTCCGTCGAAGCTATCTTGCAAGACTGCAGGGCACAACCAGCGCTATTTACGTTCGCAAATACCATCTAAAACATGCAGTTTGATATATTACGTAATACTACTATCGTATTTTATCACAATGACTCCAGAAAAGTCATTTAAATGACAACCCTGAATGATGTTAGTGCAGATTATTTACTAATAACTGAACAAAAGAGGGTATCAACACTTAATATGAAAAACAAATTACGTAATTTGTCCTAATGTTCAAATATACCATTCATTTGGATCGAATGTTTATTTCAATATAAAAGGTTTTTGGAGAACAAAAAAGGCATGCTTAAAAGTTATTCTAGCGTCATGAAGTATCCTATGGATTAACAATTATTAAATAAGTATCAAACTGAATCTTTATGTGAAAACTATACATTTGAAAGGAAGAGGTGCGTTAATTGGCATATACCCCCCAGTATCTTTTGAGTGGGATGGATATTTTTGAATTTTTTTTTATTTTTTTATTTTAAATATAAAATTGTTCACTATTCTTTTTACTTTGGAACCGGAAAAATTAGAGTATGCCACCTCGAACCCCAATAGTTATAAAATAAGTCTGTTACAGATACTGTTTCCCTCGGTCCAAAATATACCCACCTGCTTATATGCAAGACATTTGGAATTCGGCAGACAACCATTCCAGCGTGAGCTGTAGTTGGCTTTTTGTCTGTACCACGTTTTTAAAAAACTAGAGACAGTTCTATATTTCGCTGCACCGGCATTCATTCCTGAAAATCGAAACGTTTTATAAAGAATGAATGAAACGATAACAGCCCCATGACGTTAAGACATCGCCAACAAGACAAAATGTAGCCTCCTCAGAATCATGAAGTTTCTTCTTCAATAATTGTGAAGTAATGCTGTGGAAAATGCTGTACACGAATGTTGTCTCGAGCACTTGCCAATAGCATGGACATGAAATTAAGCATGAAATAGGTACAGCGATATCAAAATAATATAAAGATATCATGTTCAGATTTACCCTCATATTAGCCTTGCTCGTTGTACGATTTGTTACCTGTCCATAGTACCCCGGACAGGTTGTATGATGCAGTCGTTTTTTTACTCTATATTTGCAATAGAACAACCATTCTTATTAAAATGTTCATATTGTATTCTGGAGACAATTTCCAACATGGAAAAAAAAGTATTTTAACGAAATTCCTAATTTTATGATTTTGATAGGCTTTTTTCAAAAACACTCCACTGTCAATAAAATACAGGTTTTGCTTGAACAATTAAACTTTTAACGTCATTTTAAAGATTGTCTAGTTATTGAATTTTTGGCCGTCTAAAGTCTTTCCAGATGTATTTGATGCCATATTGATTATGGCCGATTATTGTTATTCGTTTTTGTCATATTCAATAGGCCTAATATTATTACAGTGCATTAGGCCAATGGAAAACTTGTCACTCTGGGTCACGTTTCCTCTGAAAACGCACCCTTTTCTCCACTGGGTTTTTCCTCCACCGTCACTCAGCATGCAAGCCCGTGGCACGTAAATTGTACCATGCTTTTAAAATGTCAGGTATCCCTGACAACTTCATGATAAAATTTGACACAGCTATATCAACATCTCTGAAGAATCTAATGCCAAGAATACTTGAAATTGGAGATTCGTAATGTTTTACTTCATTTTGGACAGTATCGAACAGTTCGATCGGGTTGAACTCATGTCCGTGGACAAGAAGATTGACCTCCTCTATCTGGACTCAATGGAGGGAACGCTTCACAAAACGAGACCCAGAGCAACAAGTTTTTATATATCTGGAAAGACTTAAGGCGGCCGGAAATTCAATAGCCAGACAACATTTGAAATGACGTTAAAAGTTCAATTGTTCAAGCAAAAACCTGTATTTTATTGACAGTGTAGTGTTTTTGAAAAAAGCCCGTCAAAATCATAAAATTGGGAATTTCGATAAAATATTTTTTCCATATTGGAAATTATCTCTAGAATAAAATCTGAAAATGTTAATAAGAATGGTTGTTCTATTGCAAATATAGAGTAAAAAACGACTGCATCATACAACCTGTCCGGGGTACTAAGAAGTCCAGAATTTGCCCAACGCCATATTAATTACTGGTGCTAATAAGCTACATCAATTAAATATCAAGGACTCTTAGAGGGAAATGTATTTCGGGTAGTAAGGATTAGATTGATAGTTTAATTTTCACGCTTGCTTATTACAGTTTTTTTAATTAGACAGTCGTGCCATCTTTTTTAGATAACGATTATAATATGAGCAATGAGTTACGTGTTAAACAAATATTTGGTGAAAGTACAACCGAAATTCAGTTAAAAACAGCAGACATAATTCTGGCTATGCAAATCAAAAGAAATTCGTTGTTGGTATGATAACTCTATTTTGGTCCTGAGCTATCGACCTTTGGGAAGATGGCATGGGTCACTATAGAGGTTTCATCTCAACTGGGGATATAAAGGGGACATGCCATTAAGAGGCCATTCTCTGACTTAGTCATTTTTTCAAAAGTGTGAAAATAAAAAAATTCATGAAAAGTTCTTAAAATATTCTGAATAACAAGTTGAATATATATATTTAATGATGGCACAAGCAAAAGTCTGAAAATTAACATGAAATGAAGGGTTTTGACAGGTGCAAAAGATGGTAGATTTGTGATGAAGAAATAGAGGTTTTTGCAGTAACAACACAATTACCTCGAAGTTATCCGTTATGAGAGGCTGAGGACTAAACTTGACATAATTTTCAATCTCAGATTATCAGTAGTATCTAACTTTAGCCGGACAGCCACTCAAAATGTATATGGAGCCCATAAGATTCATTTTTCTCAATTGAAGTCACTATTTCTGTTTTTAGCTTCAGAGGATAGGAGGTACATGAACATGCTAAGTTTACCTAGATCACAAGCCTTACCACAAATAAAAAGTATATAGGAATAGAGTTGATATGTGTGAAAACCTTAAACTTCCCATTTTATTGGGGATGGAACTTGTGGACCATGTGTATTTCTAACTTCTTCACATGTGCATGGATCTAAAATTATGGCAGCCATCTTGGATATGTCATATTATGTGGACATGGTTTTGGTTGTGCTGAATTTGTTTCAAAATAACATTTCTTGTATACCTTCAATAAGTGAGATAGGCATTTGAAATTAAATACAGATAGTATACTTGACATTCAATGCAGTAAACAGTAATACAATTCATTCTTACATAATAAGTGAGTCCAGACAAAAAGTTGTTATTGTGTTAGTTTAACTGGGCATAAATTACACTCATTGGCCTTGGTTTTCTTAATTGGCTTGGATAAAATGTTGTTCTGTTTATTCAGAAAAGGAGTATAATTCAATATACAAGTTCACATTCGTTCCATCCTCTTGTAGAAATGAATCTCATATTATTTCATCTCAAATATAGAACACAAAAATATAATAAAAAACAAGTTTCTATTAATTGCAAAAGTTAGCTTCTATGTCATGACTGAGTTTGGGTTCCGCTTCTAGGGAAAAAATAAACCATCTGGAAATATCGTATTGACCATTGCTATACACTCCATATTTAATCCTCCCAGTAAATAACATTGATATACAGTGTACAAGTATATATGACATCAAGGATATGGGGTTTGGGTAATGTGAGACATGAGGCCACTTGTCTTTTTGAATCTCATATTCAATATTCTTTCTTTAAACCCTCATATTTAATATTTTTGGAGTGGTAATTCAATTATGTACCTATTTTTTATTCTTTATCCCATAGTTGAACTCTGTTCCACTCTGTTAGGTAACATGAAAACATATTTATGATATTTTGCACATGCGTGGAAAAAGTGATATCTGTGGAATACGGAAAATATTTCACAGATATCACCTTTTGGCAGGGATTTGAAAACTACCACCAATATGATGTGTTTTGTTACATAGTGATTTCATGACATCACGGGGATGAATGAATGAATGGATGTTGTTTTGATATGCTTTGTTTAGTTTTAGAGGTGAACTATGGGAAAAATAGAACATCCTATGAATTTTCGTGATATTGTGTTAATCTAACTCATTGATATCAATATCTGCGCTAATTCGCTATGCTAACTTGGCAAGATATTGATATCAACTCTGAGATAAAGATAAAATCATATGATATCCTATACATATCCTTTACTGTGCCACAACTTTCTCATATGTTATATATTTTGGCACAGGCCATCATTTATTTTCCTTGAATTCATGCTTTTGTTCCTCGTTTTAGAAATGAGAGGAAATCTTTGATTTTCCTTGTATTTAAGTTGCTTAAATGTTGCCATGTGATGTTGATAAAAGTCAATAGTAATCCATTACAGTCACAATTGAAATGTACACATTGCTAGCCCAGAACCTACCAAAATAGCATTTGCATTTTGTCAATATTGCCCTATGTGCTTTTCCATGAAAATAATTTTAATCGTATCTTTTCTTCAGTATTTCATATATTACATTTTAATATATTTATATTGCTTAATATTTATATACTATTTACTTAGACAACAATAAATGAAGAATTTTTTGTAAAAACACCAAAAATGGTATATGATCTTTAAATGACTGTTGTGTGAACATCAAAGGTCAAAATTCGCTGAAATTGTATTTTTATAAAGCACAAATGATTTTTCTTCAATATGATATGCATTATTATCAGATATCTTTGGGGGCTAAAAAGGGCCCTTAATGACACCCGTCCTTTGTTCACTATTTTAAATATGTGTGTTTTTATTCATTATTTCAATTTGTAACTTTATCATTGTAACTCTCTAGTGATTAGAGGTAAATAAATATACAACACAATACAATACAATACAATACAATACAATACAATACAATACAATACAATAAGGTGAAAGCATTTTTAATGTTTTACATTTCGTATGTTCAAATTATGATGAATGAGCCAACAAGCTCCATATTTCCAATTCATAGATTATTCAGCAATCTCATAAAAACTGGAGAAGAAAGATTTAATGATATTGAAGTTCTCACCCCTACATATAGCGATAGTATCCAAAGGTTAACAGTTCAAAGGAATATTAGAGAGTTTAAGCTTGCATATAAAGTCGATGATGATGGATGAGCTAAATTACAATGTCAATAGAAAAGAATTTCAAAATGTTGGTGTTTGGAGAAAAATAAACTTTATTTAAGGTAAAAATATTGTTCATTTATTCTATTTTTGCCATTTTTGCTATTTTTATACAATTAATAAGGTTAGTGCTATTTTTGCCCACTTTGTTATTAAAAATAGTGACTGTAATTACGTATACATTGATTACCTATAAGTGGTACGAGGTTATCTTTTTTTGCAGATCTATAAGTAGCGTCGATGTTTGAACAATTTCCAACCCATTTTGCAGCCTCATCCGCAAGGGTGTTGTTCCAAGTCTGTAACAAAATCACAGTTGATAGCATTTTCCTTCCTGACCCAATGTTGCATGATATATTATTGAAAAACGTGGTAATCATTTTTGAATTCTTTTCCAAAAGGGGGCACTCTTGTGACTTCTCCAGAAAATTAATATGAATGAATAATAGACTAGATGCGAGTAGAAACAATCTTCATTTACGTCATTTAAAATTTAAAAGTTAGTCAAACTGATATCATATTTGAAATCTACATGTCAAATTACATCTAGAAATGTAGTTTTAAAAACGTGTTAATTAACTTTGAAAATTTAACTTTCTTTGAAAATGTGACTTCTTGGTCTGGGAGATTCCCCATAGATCCCATGTTATAAAACCACAAAAAGTGAAATATCTTGTATCTTATTAGAAATATAATGTTTTCTTTCATTCGACCTATTTGTATAACTATCAGATACTCAACTGACAAAAACACATGACTGATTGAACAGATTGACGGATGCTCTCACATGGCACAAACGCTATGAAGGCCTCATTGCGCAGCTCTTATAATAGAGTTTTTGACATGACTAACATAATATGGTATCAATCTCTTCCATATTTCTACCACTTACTAATGATAACCTTAGCATAGCTTATAGACATCTTCAATGAAATCGAGTCATCAATTGCTGAGAAAATACTTGAAGAAAAGCGGATCTCTTTTTGGACTTACGTTACTAAATTATATGAAACCCAAGATGACAGAGTCTTTACATTTTTCAAACCCGGAAAAACTTACCATTTTAAGTACGTTGGAGGCCTTTAGTCGCCTCCTGTATTTGTTGTGCTGTCTTAGAATTTGCTTCACCGATATAGCGTCCTGTGTATTGTAGGTGCAAACATCTAAAACAAATGTCAAATGCATCTAGAGATGATCAGAAAGTGCTTGTCAACTTTGAAATTTCAAATCCTTTGAAAATGTGAAAAAGTGAAATATCTTTTTCTTCTGTTGGACAGATACTATTTTCTTTCACTGTGTATATTTTCATTTGTATAATTATCAGACACATAAGGGTTACAAACATGTATCCACTTTAACTGATATTCAAGTTTAACTTTCTCAGATATCTCCCATGCTGATCGAAGAGAATTAGCCGCCTGGTGGTGAAACTGGTAATAATCTAATCGCATCTGGGTTATTGTCCTGATTTTAGGGTAACACGTTTACGATTCGTCCCTGTACTCAGTCTTTTCCAGCAAATTAAATTATCTGTGCACTTTTCGTCTGTTTATTTCAGCTGTTGTTTGGGCAACTAGATGTAACTCGAGATATAACTTGACATTTATTGTTCAAATGATGAATGAACGTTTTTGAATTCTACCTTTTTTCTTGCTTCAGTTATGCCTTGGTCACATAGGCTCCGATTTTCACTACGGCGCCCGGCCGATTAGTATTTTGTTCGAAATCGGCAGGCGAGCCCGGGCATCGTACGGGCGCCGGGCGATGATCGCCACTCATCGGCCGATTTTTAGACATCGTACGGGCGCCGGTAGTTTTATCGCGGAGATAAAAGTTGCCGATGTCTTGGCGATTTTTTCTCAACCAAACTCATCGGTACCTACCCGGCCGTGTCCCGCCCGGTCATCGTACGATTATCTTACGGCGCCCGGTGGCATCGCACGGTCATTTTGGGATTTTGCGTGCTGATTTGTTTGATAAATCTTAATAATGTTTACTTATAAAGTGATACAAAGGTTTTAAAAAGAATGAGGTAAGGAATTATAATTACTACACACTGTCAGAGATTTTTTATAAAACATAAATGGAACGATTAGGCTTACTGTAAAACAATGACACACATTTGAATGGCTGGATGGGTGGGTTGATCTAGTCGTTCTTACACTGACATTAATCGTGTATGTCTGTCATACACATTGAATAGAGCGATACATTTACTGTATTTATGCCCAGAAAGTACTCATGGTGAAAGATATGACCGTATTAAATCACTTGCCATACTGCACGTGGTCTTTTCATCAAAGTGCACCCTGACCTTAATTCATTTTTAGATCTTTCATATAAACAAATACTATGTCTACTCCCTGTCCATCCGATGCTATTAGCAAAATTCCCTATTTCTGCATCTTTCTTTTGTCTGTTCTCGTCAAATTGCTTGTTTTTCGTCAATATTATTTAAATTTCCAAATAAAAAAAAATGAGTGTCACAAAATGTTTCAAGTTAAAGTATGCCGAATTTCATAAGCAAACTCTTTTTGGATATTTTTCCACAATACATCAAAGTAGGCGACAAAAATGTGTGTGGGGTACTATATATAATCAATCCAACTTATATGTAACATGTTTATTATTGTAATTTCATCAATATGTCTTAATCGTGATACTTACAAGTGTCACTCGATATAGTTATGAATATAAATAATTGTTTTATTTAGAGTTAATTAAAGTACATACCCATTACATTTGAGACTACCAATAGGAGAAGTTGTATCCCGTAATACAGCTCCATTTGCTGACCGATGTTGAATAGAAAGCAGAAAGTGCTCTTGGTGTCTTTATAAACACCTACTGCGTCATTTTATTCCAGTTGGTGTCTAGAACGTTCGTCTTAAAACCAGGCAAAATCGATTCCACGCAAAAAATGTTTGGTCCCCATATAATGAAATACTAATAATTAAACGTATATGGGAGCTTACGTGAGAATTCGTGTGGGTGTTATAAAGAGCAGGGCAACTTGTTCGAATAGACGGTTCCGCATTTAACCCTTCCGCTCCGTATTTTGCAGGAACAAGAGATATATTTGCCAGAATTGATATTTTTTTGTGTTAATACTAAAAATCTGCTTTTGTTCCAAAGTTATAAGAAGCAATGCTTTGAATTTACGTATAAACTAATAGATTTAGGATTTTCTTTTGTTAACATTGCAAACTGCAACCTAAAATCAGTCAGATTTGCTCTACGGCGGCCGTAGCTTTACAAAATCGATATGGAAAATGTGATCGTAGGGGTACATCCAGCTGATCTTCGCGATCGGGAATAATGCATGTGAATGATGCATTAATTCCAATAGAATGAACCCTTTGTATAATATCTTTGACTTAAAAGTAGGTTATGATAGCATTTATTAGACAGGGTGCTTTAACCTATACATTTCATTTGTGATCAATCTTCATAATATTAGAGACATAACAAAGGAAACAACGGTTGCCTGTTATCTTATTTTGCATTTATGTTATTTGCTTTACCGAGCATTTCCTAACCACGAGTAAACGAGCAATTCGTGAAAATAGATATTGTGATGACACAAAATGTTTAACAATACAATTTCTTATTTTTCAGACATGTGTTTTTATTGAGCTAAAGTCCAAAACAAGGTATCACTGCAAAGATACGGATTCGTTAGTAGGGTTAAAAATAGAACAAAATAAATTTATGAAAACAAAATATTTTTGTGGGCAAATTTCAACGGAATCGTAATAAATTATAAAATAATTAACAAATTCGATCATAAAGACTTTTCATTTTTTTACTCTGTCTCCAAAAATTAAAATTACGCCATGCGGCTACCGTTATGGGGCAGCTCCCAAATATGAGTGAGGCATTAAGTATTGTATGAATCCAAGGAGTATTGAGTTACAACTGATATGGAGAAACTAGATTGATCTAAAAAATAAATGACTGTATGAATGCATTTTGCATTGTACTTTTAACTTTTTGAACCATATTCATTGAGTATTCCAAAACGACATTTTTGGGTTAACGCGCCCTAAAGACATGTAAAGCTAGTGTCCTGAATCAAAAAATGAGTTGTGATGACATTCATAGGATAGGGTGATTTAACCTTAATTTAAGATTTTAGGAGTATGCTGATTTTAGCTAATTTATGTTATCATGACAACATATTATGAGACCCTGATAAAACATGCCATTGTCTTGCAAAACAAACAGCAACGATCACATAGAGACAATTGTTATAATTAAGGGCCCGCTGTTCAAAAGGCTTTGTTTGCTTTTCTTCATTCTTTATTTATAAGGAGGCCCCATCGGGGGTGGGGGGTTCCTATATATTTTGTAAATACTTTCTATTTATTTTCCTTCATCTTTATTCGTCCTACGCGTTCTTTTCATAGTTCCAGTGAGGCATGAGTTAACTCCTATGCTCCTACTTGGGACCTAGACTGAACTTTGCGTGAAAGAATTTTTATCTAGGTCAAGGACAAAATGTGAGTCAAATCAATTTTTTAAAAGTTTGTCCTTATTCTTCATTATTTCTTCTTAACCTACTTTTTCAAAAATCAATACTTTTTGAAGAGGTACAGTAATTGAATAAAGTTTATCCCAATCAAAACATTCTTGAATCCATCCCTTTGAGTGGGGCTCCACTGCTATAAAGCAGCTTTGGAATAAAGTGAAACACCGTTGGACAATCGCCCTGATAATTATATATAATCGGTTGCAGACATTGGGGTTTATGGACTGCACGTGTCCCATCTTTGATGTTGTAAGGAACCAGGTGGTGACATTTTGCTCTGTAAATGTTTGATTAATATAGAATCATGTAAAAGCCCCATCTTCGCTCACGCAAGAAAGCTTTTAACTTTACCATTATAGTTGTAAGAGGAAATATCAGACATCAATTAAACGCATTTAGAAATAGAAGGTTGTGATCTATTTTTTCAATTTTATGATTTCATTCTGTGTTTTCATCAACCAAATACTATTTCTCCTTAGGAAAAATGTCCCGAGGGAAAGTCCACGTGCCATCATGAATCGAATGATTGACAGCCTGGAAAGACAGGTATATGACAACACATATTGGGTCCAGAAAACTGGGCATGTAAGACATGGCTACGATGCTATTTATTTTTTATTTTATTTATTTATTTTATTTATTATTCAGGAACTACATCTTTGAAACGATGGCACACAAAAGTTATATAAATTCTAGACGCGTCTAAAACATGTTACAGTATTTAAAATCAAAATATCATACATTAAGAATAAAATATTGGTGTGATATCAAGACAGTTGTAGCTCTAGGCTTGTATACTTTACTTAAAAACTGTTTTTACCATCTTATCAACAACTTTAAGATGATCATGCCCCCATAAAAAATACATCATCACCACAAATAAAACCAAGTTTCTTTTCTATATTTGCAGGGATAAAATATGAAAATGCCATTTCATTACATTTCTGGCTTAAACTAAAATAAAGTGATTGGCGCTCCTCATTAAAATGAATACATTCTAAAATTCTATGTTGAACAATGTCATTCTCTTTAATTTTGTATCGCAGAATGAACAAAACCCATCAGTCATGCGCCATGATTCATAGTTGGTTTCTAATGCAAAAATGTTAGCTCGAGCTAATGTTGATGTTGATTTGGAAAATTCAGTTGGTCCTATAGCTCCTCAAGTTAAAGTCGATCAAATTAGAGTTATGAGACATACTAAGAAAGAACAATCTAGAAGTCTCAAAATACACATTAGGCCTTAGCGGGTTTTAGAATTTGGCCGAACAGTATAGTTTCTATATTCTACAAAGTAGCTGGATAAGGTGAAATAATAAATATCACCCTTCTCCGAATCCAATGTTTTAAAGAATCCTAGCATTGCTTTAATGGAGATCTCTCCCAACTTTTTATTAAAGAAGTCATGTAAAATTATTTAAAGGGCATATCTGTATAAATCAGAGTTTTTTGTGGAAACGTTTTCATTGTAACGATAGTAAAATAAAAAAAAGTTAGTCATTAGAGGTTAGAAGTTCAAATCTCTTAAAATCACATGAAAAAATGAGAATAAGCGAGATTTCAAAGCTATATTGAAACTCATTTACTGACACATCTTATTTTAACTAAGTGGATATGACGAAGGATTCTGAGCGTTTTATTGGCAACCTTTGTAAATCAGAAGATGGTGCCTAATGTCAATTACGTAGCTATCATATTTTTAGTAAAAGAGACCAGGTGCAATTATGGGCAAATATCCCTATGGTCATAATACATTATTTCTAGATGTAACATCAAAAATACAGGATGAAGATGGGGTTATTAAGTGCATAATGCTACAAAAATAGTCAGATTTGATGTTTTTACCAGAAATGAGATTTGACGAAAATATTATGCACCGACTAACAGTGTTTTAACAAGAACTACTAAATAATAATTATATAATAACTTCGAATAAACCAAACACTAACCATTTGATCTACATATGCACCTTGCTTGTTATTCTCTATGAAAATATTCTTCACTCAAATATGAGATTGGTGTTATCAGTTTCAACAGAATCTAAAAATATCCTGGGTGCATCAGGGTGGTGGGTGGTTTGAGGACTGACTATTGAGTTTGAGTTTGAAGGTTGAAGGTCTAACTTTCCGAAAGGATGGGTATCGATATGGCGAACACACGTTTCATTTAAACCAGTCATCAAAAGATTCTGAAAAGTTAACACATTGTCAATTTAATGGTTATATTTTGAATGGTAACAATATAATTTGAAATAGTTAAATATACTTTTCTCTATATTGTTTTAGAAAACACATCGGGTAGTTCTTTTGTTCTTGGTATCATATGTTCGGAATGAAATGAAACATCTATCCGAACCTCATTTGAACAAAATGACACAACGTGTTTATGTCTCTCAATATTGTAATACTCCAAATAAAAGGAAAGTTTGGTTGATTTAAAAAAAAGTATATTGTTAATGAAATTAAAGGTTTATCTAAGTTTTTATCTATTTCAGGGGTTTTTGTTTTAATTTTTTGAATACTTTTTGTTAAATCAACAAAAATTTCCTTTGTACAACTCTAATATTGGGAAGTCTAGGAAAATGTTGTATATGCTATTTTGTTTAAACAAGCTTCGGAGAGATATTTTATTTCATTCTCATGAAATGGTAAAAAGGAACAAAAAACGGATGCACTAAAAAACAAAAAAAAATGTTAACAAAAACAGTTATATAAAATATGTATAAATTATTTTCGCATTCAATTGTTGTCAATCAGTCAACATTACATAAAGGACCGTGTTTTTTTACAAAATGTATTCAATAATTGGTTTAAGATAAAAACATTGTTGAATTCAGTTCTCCATATCGATACCAATCCTTTTCACAAATGCGCCAGAATCGAGTGTTAATTTTAAGAACCAACGCCTGAAATATATTGACATATCACAATTCATTGAGTCTGTGGCTACTTAAATTCTTTTCACACATTGCAAAATATTTTCTACCATGTCACTTAAAAGATACGAAATCACGAAAAGAACATATTTTCAATAAAACCTTTTGCGAGGGTCAAGTTGGCAAAGCATCAATCTCAATTTGTAGATATCGGTTCTCACCTTGCTAACCATTGACTAGCATTCGATGGATGCGGTGATCGGTTGTATAATTGAATGCAGTTACGTGAAATGGCGTGTTCTGATTGGCTGGAATTTGACACACCCAGCAATGTGTGAATTATAATTTCATGTAATGCAATTATATAAAATAATGTGTTCTGATTGGCTGGAATTGGAAACACCTTGCCTAGCTATGTATAGATGACAATATATACGTTCAAATTCAAAGAATCAATTGCATGATTCCAAACTTGACCGGTGTTATTATTTTAGCCATGATATCAACATCGTCGAATCGAGAATTGTACCATAGTATTTTCGAATGCCATTTTTGATGTGGAATATTAGTGATCTACCATACCGATGTTCCAATCTGACTTTCGAACAAAATTATTGCTCACTATAACATCACAATTAACCACCACTAGTATAAACAAGTACAAAATGTAAAACTGTATTTTGCTTTCATTCTAAGAATTTCTTTATTTTCAGTGAGAGAAAACCGGCAAATACAATGGAGACTCCTTACAATGTGTGTGTGCTATCAGTTTTGTGCCTCTTCCTAGTGGCAGTATGTGATGCCGAGAGTCGTTACAGAGAAACATGTCGAAAGCGATTGATGCTGAAGATCATCCGTCCCGAAGGTTGTTTCCCCCGAAGTCTCCCTATGTTCGGATGTCACGGAACGTGTATTTCGTACACAGAGGTTTCTCGCACAAACACGTCGGAACTCACAAGACACTGCACGTGCTGTCAGAGCATTGGCCAGAACCGTATCAGAACAGCAACGTTCACATGTCGAAGAAAGAATGCCAATACATATCATCAAATTCTCCTACAGATCGCAGTACCAACAGAGTGTGAGTGTCGGCCTTGTCGAGATGGCCTTGTAGCAAGCGTTGGTATGACTGCCTCTAAAAGATCCGAGGACAATGAGGGAACCCAATTTGAAGGTGAGATAGAAGAACGTGATGTAGATCAGCAAGACTTGACAGACATTTATATGAATGAAGAAAATTATGAGTCTCAATTAATTGATGGCTTGAAGAATAACATTGATATTAAGAATTAATAGGCGGATGACAGTACCAGAGATAAGTAAATGGATCACTCGTAGTTCATATCAAACATGATAAATGAACGACAATAAGTAGAACGATGAGAACTTGCATGCAAACCGCAGAGTTGCTGGACACATTTGGCTTGCCATGTGGGCTCTCCACCGTTCGCCTCCGTTTGGGTAACTTTGGGCATTACTTTTTTAATGCATTTCCTTTCAATTCATAACTTAATTTTGGTATTTGATGTAATAGGGTATATCTTGCTGTAAAGGCAACCGTGTACCATGTCGTGCCTCGACGTCTGCCCAAAAGTATTCACACGCTGACGAACGGTAAGCCCGCACGGCCTAAGTGTGGCACATCGATGTGTAAAGAAAACTTCAAGAACTGAAGGATAATCCAAAGCCTGATGTTTACCAACTATAATTCATAACAGATTCAGAGTTAACTTGCCAACGAAGCTCAGTTATGGGAAAATTTGTAAATTCAACCATCCGACTGTATTTTTGTGCACCTGAGGCACACAAATATTGATTGACATTTATTCAGATATTTATCTTTATTTTCCGAATCTATAACATAATAGGGACAATTGTCTTGCATATGTAAAGAATTATTAGCATGTGTATATAAAGAACAAAAAATATATATTTTGTTAAACCGGACAGTGACTTAATATCTCTTATTAACGAAATTTTTGCCCGTCATTGCGATCATTTAATAACAGAATCCATAGTAACATTTGCATAAACAACTTCCTCAAGCAAATACACAGCCTAGTAGTCAAGCTGCGAGTCTACTAGCTAGGCACGCGGTTTGAAACACTATGACAAACTCGATGTACTTCTCACTTCATTCAAACGTGATGCCAAACAAACTAATAATGAGTGCGACGTAATTATAACTTTTTGATATTTTTACTTCAACTCCATGAACAGAACGTCGAGTCTGCTCAAAAATTATTTTCGTCCATCCCGGTGTATAGTGTCATCATAGTTTGACAAAACGAGATGAACGAATAGACGTACTTCGATCCTACCAAGAACGAACATCTTCTGACGTATTTGGAACAATAGTAACCCTACTATCACACCAAACTACACTGACTAGTGTCTCGCCATTTTGACTTATATTATATCAGTCTCTCTGTCCCTCTCATACTAGGGACGTATTCACCCTGGAATAAATAAATTCAGATACGGTTGTCACAAATGGCGGACATAACCGTCGCTTCAACTGTATAATCACTTGACCCTCATTTCATGGGATTTTATTGTCGCTAATTCTGTGCATGTATTAAGCTTTTGTGATGATGTTTCTATGAAATCCCAATTTCGATCAAATTGGGTCGTGAATCGCAACAATATAGCGTCTTCGATATCGTCAATGACATCAGACTCTGAGTAATTTAGAAAGACAATGGCATATGGTAATTACAGTGTCCGTTGTCCCGTATCTCATTTTGATCGGTTACAGTAAATTAGATACTTTATTTCGATGGTAGCACATTATTATGTACAATGAGTATTTCGACACTTTGATTGATTGTTGTTACTTACCCCCCTATCACACCAAACTAGTTCTTACCCGTTCTTGCCAGTTCTACGAAAACGTCGTAAAACGGGCTCAATCTGGCTGTTTTGGGGAAATATGTCTAAAATAATTAGCTACTTCGTTCATAAACAGTCTTCAAGACGTCCATCTCATTCGCAGTTCGTTCAGGTCGCACCACGTCGGTGTGCAACGTCGTATAACGCGTCCCTTAGTCTAGAAGGTCGCCATGACCTGATTACAGAACGGTATGGTCGCCATCGAATTTTGAATCTATTCAAAATTCTAAATCAAATTCCCCGTCCGGGAAAGTCCATGAAGTTCGTAGACAGACTGTAGAACGTTGTAGCTACGTTCATTCAGTTTCCACACAGTTTAAAACCGATTCGGCAACATTTTGAAGAACGCAGTGACAACTGGTTCTCGTGTGATAGCTATCAAGTTTAGATCGGGTAAAATTGTGCGTTCGTCTCGTCTACACATCGTATCCAAGCAGTTCAATTACGTCCTTAATCAGTTTAAACCAGTTAACAATTAGTTTTACCTCGTTCTCAATACGTCCTAATATGTCACTGAATTATCCACCAAATTTATAAACGGGAAGGACGTTATTCGGTCGAGTTGGGTCTGTCTACGAACAGAATATGAACGAGCTACAAACGGACTAGATTGGGGTTCGGCAATTTACGCCTGACTACACAACGTTGTAATACGTCCCTAGTAGGATTGAAGTACGACACTTCCGTTCGTAGTGTGTCCACAGTGCGTCCAGGTCGTCTTAAGTACATTGTCACTCTGATTGCAGAACGTGACGATCACCTAAAAATGTTGAGCATGCTCTAAGTTCTGGAGGACCGACTCGTTCGAGTAGTTTCATGAAGTTTGTAAACATATCCCAAACGGTTCTTAGTGGGTTCTTAGTACTTCAAATCCGTTCGTGCAAAGTTTAAGCCCGTTTTCGAGAACGTAGTGAGAACAAGTTTGGTGTGATAGTAGGGTAACACAGTTAGTTTAGGCAAAGGCGAACATAAATTGGCGTTCGTTTTTTTACCGCATCCGATTTAAGTAGCTCATTAAATAATGGGGTGTGAGAACTTAAAATTTATTCTGACGATGTGTGTACCCCCCCCCCCCCCTCTTGGACATAAAGTCCAGAACTGAATATGTCAGCACATGTTGATGATTGTTAAGTAAAAACAATATATCCTTATAACGTAACATATTTTCTATAGTTTATTTAAGGAATAAATAATGATAGGCCATTCAATATGGTGAAATTCAGCACGAGTTGGACAGAATGTTGTACAAAGCACGAACCGAATTTGTACTAACATTCTGTCCAACAAGTGCTGAATTTCACCATACCTATCATTATTTATTCCGATTCAAACATAAAAATTAGTAAAAGCCGTGTCTGTGGAACGGGCATGAAGGAAGAATACGCATGCTATCCCCGGACAGAGCCCCAGATAAGCAGCTGAGATGTGACGTCACTCAAAACAATGCAAATTGCAGATTGAATAGAGCATGGTCGTGCATCTATGGAGAATTAGAGAACGTTCTATATTGGCTATGCTGCATTCTGATTGGTTGAGAAATTCGAATAGAGCACGGTCATGTTTGAATTTCCTGTTTATTCTGTTCGTATCAACATGGGCATTCAACTAAACCCTTTTTTACATGTCATATATTTAAGTTTATCAATTATGTAGCTAATGATTTGAACGGATTGCATTGCCATAGAGTAAAATAACCGCAAGCGGTACAGAAAAAGGTACCTTGGTCTGAGAAAACCTACCCCTCTATACAACATTGTCTAATGAAGACCAAACAAAGCCCCGGATGTCCTGTCGTTTCTCGTTTCGTTTGGTACACAACTAAGCCCCGGGTATTAAATAAGCCCTTGTTTTAGGTGCTCTATTAAACATACAGTTCATGAAAATCTAATTGAAGCGACGGTTCTGTCCGACATTTGCGACAACGGTATCTGACTTTACACCGTTGTCAGGCTATTCCGGTGTGGTATTACTACGTTGTCCAGTGGGACGTGATTGATGATCGACTGATGAGAGATAGCAACAAACTGGGTATAACTTCAATCAGGCTAAGAGGGGATTTAACACTAGTTCTCACTGCCGTACTTCGACCCTAATAGGGAGGTGTCAACCCCGCTATCACAACAAACTTGTTCTCAACCGTTCTTTCCAGTCTTACAAAAAGTCATAAACAGGCTGAATCTGGCTGTGGTCGGGAAATATGTCTAAAGTAATTAGTTACTTCGTTATGACCACCTCAAATTTTGAAATAATTCAAAATTCTTAATCACTCTCTCGGTCGAGCACATACTGAATGTCATACTCACTTGCGGAAATGTCATACTCACCTAAGGAGTATCCCATATACTGCAGGTGAAAACGTGATACAGAAGTCTCGATTTGATTTGTCAAAAGAATAGACCCTAAATGTAGAATTACACTGAATTACCAATTCATATTGTTAGCGCTTCGAGAACTAATATATGAATTATTAAGAAAGATTTTGCGTAATAATGTTTCCTTTAAGTGTGTATTTGCGAGTAAAACATACATAAAACAATCAATACAGGTACCATTGGTGTATGACAGATTCACCTACGGTATATGGCATATTCACTAACCAATGTCAATTGCATCGATTGAAGGAACGGGTAAAAGTTTATAAATAATTATAATGATTACTGAATCAACAGTACAGTGCATTGAATATATCAACTAATGCAGAAGTATCAGAAAAAGCAGAAGCAGAAAATAAAAATATGTGTTTAATTAGTGTGATTACGCAAGTTTATTTTTCAGATTTTGTTTGATTTTTCAAATTTGAACCAACCAGATTCAACAAAAATGTGTCGAATATTTGGGTAATTTATGATTGTGAACATATTAAATTTCTTACCATTTAAAACATTTTATTACCAGAATTCTTCCATATAATCGCAAGGGGTCAAACAACAAATTATTGTTCATGTTTTATAAAACAATAACAACTATGTAAGATTTATATCTAATGAAATGTTACAGAGGTATTGGAATGTTCATATATTCCAAGGGCATGTCTAAAATTCAATTAGAGTCGTATGTAATTGAACGCCTTACAATTCTTACCGCTGGATATAATCAAATTTAAGGAAGATAATGATAACGAATTTTCTCAATTATTCATGAATTCGACCAAGCCTTGATGGTTGTTTTATAAGCAACTGAGCTATATCTAACTACGAGAAATAGAATTTTAGCTGTAGTCCGAATTAGTCAAGGAAGAGCAATGGACCCTCCTTTATTGATAATGTTCACCGCTGAATAAAAGTCCATATCTCAAAACGTATTGAGACCCATTTTGTGAAAACCTAGCATAATTTAAGCATTTGTCATTCTAATATAAAACTGATTCATTTGTAGCATTATCTTATTAATACCTGAGAAACAATACAACACGTCGATACACTAGTTACATATTAATGTTTTGGTATTGATTAGAAAAATAACCTCAAACTTATGTCTTAGAAACCTAAATCATATATTTAAAATCATTTTATATTATTTTCTGTTGCATAGTGTACTCCAAATTGTGAAAAATTGGGATTTATTTTTTGGTAATTTTTTGACCTCTGTTAATGGCAGGCATAATTCAGCCTAAAAGCCGGAAGTATATTAAACGGTTATAATAAAAAATTATTAGGGAATATATTTAGGTATGTTAATGTTAGGTCAATTATCGCTGCACTATAGTGTGCTACCAGCTCCTTTATTAGACGTCCTAGAGATTTCATACCATGAACTAGTAAGAGGTCCTATTAATTGACTTATATGGTGACCTCTTTGTGCTCTTTCGCTTATTATCTTACACACACTTACATTCACTGAAATCGATGTATCACATATTCACTGCGGAATATGGCATACTCACCTGCGGCATATGCCATATACCACAGATGAGTTTGGCATATTCACCCGTATCACAGTATATTCACATCGGAGAGTATTTTAACTAGAATGTTTTAAATAGTAAGGTTCTAAACAGGACATTAATAAGCTTAACTAAAGCCTTGGTCAGATCTAACATATATGGCTGACTGAAGCTATCCAACGCTGAAGAAATCCTACAGCTATTTGCATAAATGCGCGTGGAAGTCATAATTAGTTTATATTTATGAATGTTATATTATGTGTGAATTTTGGACAGTTCTTGCAAGCGATTTACGAGGATTATGCTGTATGCCCGCGGTGCTAGTGAATTGCATAATATTTTAATGAGGTTTCTCTCCAGGCATCACTAAAAGAACAATATGCCATGCAGTCCTCATTACATGCTCGTGTATTTTCAACAAAAATAGCTTATCCCAGCGCACCTACACTCACATTATTCTTTTGAAAGCTACTATGGTTTATTGCAGTGCACTAGCAATAAGCCGGCGTGGTTGACACACGCGAGTAGCAGACAAGATTGCCACAGCGTATTAAGTAATTAGCGGTTTATGTGCGCTTGGATAACCTGCTTTTGTTGGAAACATGTGAGCATTTAATTTGCAACGCATGGGCTCATTTTTCTTTTTCTTAATTCCTAGGGGGAAAACTTATTTAATAATATTCGAACATGACTGTATTCACGCCTTCTATAAACTGTGAAGAAAGTCTATGCTTCAGCTGGGTTATATTCGAGATTAGTGCCCCGGCTCTGAGTACAAAGTGTTTTCATTGGTCAGTTTAGGCCGTTCCGTTCTTTTCACATCCCCCTCTCGTCTGCAAAGTTCAAAATTTCAGGGAGAAATTGTCGGGAGCCAAAATTTTCTGTCTATATTCTGGGCAATATAGAATTAATTTCAACAATTATCAATGTAGTATATATGCGTGAAATCAATAAAACAGGCCGAAATGTCAATAAAAAAACTTAAGTCGGGGTCAGGAGGACAGTAAACAAATTGAAACACCCAAACGGAAAACCTGAAGTAGAAATGAAAAAAGTGGAAATGAACATCGAAATTGACAATTTTGCAATATTCTGGTGAGGTTTCATGTTCGAATCGTAATATAGACCTCAAAGAAGGGCTATTTTTCCTTGAAAAGTTAGATGGGATCTACCGTATTTTGATTTGAAGTCCATGGTAAGACGTAACATTTCACGCTTACACGGTTCGTTGAAATCGGGATTACTTTTGAAATACTGATCAGAATTTTACTATTTCACATGTTATTCAATAGAACATGTGCATTTATGACGTCACAATTGCATAACTGCTACAGTTCAAATTGTCTTAAATGAACGCTTTTAACATTTTCAAAATTGTGTAAGGTTTTGAAGGCGAAGGAGACAAGCAATACGTTTACCTTTATTTAACCTTCTAATTTAGGTTTGATTTCAAAACAAAATTAACTCCACAATATTTTCATGGCCTTTACAAAACAATAATAGATTTTTTTATTTTTCAAAAGATATCAAAATAGGAGCTGATTTTATAGACTTGAAAAAATGTAACGCATCGATTTTTACCACAAATTCCATACATATCAATTTTTACTAACGCCCCGAGTGGATTTCCTGACTGACTTTTTTTTAAATCAAAAACATTTTAGAAATATTGTCCTCGAGATCTTGTTGCTCTGTGAATTTTAACAGGATTAAGGATAAAGCATCTTATTTTTAGGTTGACTAAACTTGACAAAATGTAACGCTAGTCGTTTTTCACGTTATAAGTCTCTGCGCCCTTTTCTGCCCATTGTTTTGTTTTGGTATTTTGACGCCATGTTATGCTAATTGTCCCCAGTCTCGTGCGACTTGTATATGCAATATACTTGCATCGCGGGCGGTTCAAAAGCGCAGTCTAGGTGTTACTACGTTCGTCCCCAGAATATGTTCTGTTTGCTTTGGCTAATATCAAGATGTTGGGTAGTTTTCACCATTGTTTAATACTTTTCATTGTAGGATAAGTGGGTATTGTATATATGAGGACAACACGTATTATTTGCATGAAACAATGGTTTACTTGAAACTGTATTTAAGGAATAAATAATGATAGGCCATTCAATATGGTGAAATTCAGCACGAGTTTGACAGAATGTTGTAAAAAGCACGAACCGAAGGTGAGTGCATTTGTACTAACATTCTGTCCAACGAGTGCTGAATTTCACCATATTGAATGGCCTATCATTATTTATTCCGATTCAAACATAAAAATCAGTAAAAGCCGTGTCTGTGGAACGGGCATGAAGGAACAGCTATCCCCGGACAGAGTCCCAGATGTGCAGCTGAGATGTGACGTCACTCAAAACAATGCAAATTGCAGATTGAATAGAGCATGGTCGTGCATCTATGGAGAATTAGAGAACGTTCTATATTGGCTATGCTGCATTCTGATTGGTTGAGAAATTCGAATAGAGCACGGTCATGTTTGAATGGGCCTTTAAGAACATTTCTTATGGAATACAGATTAGTCTATACATGTATGAAGGCCAATAGACACAGTCGCTATCTTTCTTAAACGTTTAAATTGTAAATTTGTTTATCAGCAAAAGTAGATAATTCGGTAAAGGACAAAGTCAGCTCTAATTCTACATGATATCTGTGTATGATATCTTTCTGTATTTGATATATATACTGCAATCGTTCAAACGAACTAGATTAAACGAATACGATAGTGAGATCGTGGCATCAGTCTTGTGTGATATACGGTGGGCATATGTTCCCTGCATCAAAGGTGAATTTACAGCTTTACGTTCAAGTTACACATACATGTTTAGTTAGCTTAACTGTATATATTCTATCACTCTTATCAGCTGAGACTCACACCTGGACCTTGGTAACAAAAATATATGCTAGAACCTTAAATTTATAGTCTTCTAATTATTTTACTCTGCTGTCATTTGAAGGACCACTAAAACTACTGAACTTGTGCATGAATAATTCGTACACATTAGAATAAAGTCACTTAAAGCTAATCAACACCTGATAAGAATGTATACTTCAACACAATAGGACAAGGCCTAGTCTTGATCACAAACTGAGCACCGGTATAATAGGAGATATACGTGGAAAACTTTGAACGCAGATGCTATCATCATATAATGGCTACGTAATTACTAGTGGGTGTACGGTGTGGATTTGATGTAGCATATTCGACGCCTAAGTAAGTTGCTTTTAATTTTTATGTAAAAGGTAGCATCAGCTCTAGCTATCTGACACTGTAGTACTCTCGACAAGATGTGTTTCAAACTCGTTATCCTTGCTATGTCTTTTTCCTTTAATCCCATAAATGTTTAGTACTATTTGGGAATACTAAAGATTTTTACAAGAATGCATTCATATTTTTATAAATATGGTTACCATATTCATTATTTGGGAGAATCTAAACACAGCTTCTACCATTTTTGCACTTTAAAACTTAGACATCCACACCAATTGCAACGTGGATATGTTGGGATATGTTATACATGACTAGACTGTAACCAATACGTTGGTAGATCAATTGTACATGTACATCGCTTGCAGTTTTGTCATTCCCAAGAGATCCGATTCTGCCTTTCAACGTTTTGTAAGAAGCTACAACGCTTGGGGAATAACATGAAGACAAAGGGATATTTAAATTTGATATCGTGTATATAAGGCTGACAAACGTGCCTGTCTGACTAATTAGTATATCCTCTGGTGAGAAGGTACGATTTTCTTTCTTCCCTATTTCACGCGTTGTAGGTAAAATCCCCACGACGTTTTTTCCCACAAAACGTGTATCAGTATCGTAGGTTTTAGAAAAGGTACATGTTTGCGAAAAATAGCTCAGAAGACAACAGAATCGTCGATTTAATTCCTCACTCAAGTTACAGACACAGTTTGGGTTAAAAATGCAGATCTACCGTTTCTGTAAGTTAAATGAGGAATTAAATCGACGATTTTGTCGTTTTCTAAACTATTTGTTCGCAAATGTGTACATTTTCTTAAACGTATGTTGCTGATACACGTACTGATAAACATGTTGTGAGAGTTCTGCCTACAAGGTATGAATTAAGGAAAAATAAAAACCGTAGCTTCGATGTTCGATATTTTGTTACCGAGGCGTTCGGATTAGACAGGTTTTGCTGTATCTGTACCTTCAACGTTAACTAATATTATTCATAACAAAACTGAAATATTCGACTTATGAATGCTTAGATTGGTTCTCCCTTCTCTGTACACAATATGTGGAGTGGGTAAAAATAGTGCGTTGACACAAAATAAAGATAATTCAATTCCAAATATTTTGGTAAACTAACTTATTTTGATTAGACGGTTGTAAAAACTGATTTATGAGGTAGTGGTCAGGTGTATTTGGTACATGATTTTGAGCAAAACAAAAACATTGCTTTTGATTTATCAGATTCTTGGAAAATGCCTGAGTCTGATTATCTTGTAATGTAATGAACAGATAAGTAGAATAAGCCATGAGAATTCAACAAAAAGCAATCAATGACACCTGTCGCCAACAGTACCTGAAGAAAGAGAAAGATCGTTTTTAAGATGACTTGCATCACAATATAAAGCAGTGCAATATTATGGTATTCAGTTTTCGACATTTTAAATGTCAAGTCCGTTTGCTCTTCAGTACTAAGTACAAGTTGCTTTAACATTCAAACTGTTTACAACGACCGACCTTTCGTGCTCTTAGAGCGTACAAGTAGGCAACTGCATACATCGATCAGCTGATTTTAGCATATTACCCATCTACTGTAAGTAACAGTACAGCATTTCAGGTTTAGCTTTGGACCAGGTGTAAACACTATTTATTCTGGTAAGCAATCGAGCCTTGTTTTGAAACAAAAATTCTACATGTAGATATCAGATAACTTTAAATCTTTATTTCACTCCAAATGAATTACAGGCTAGTATTACCCATCTCTTTCCAAACACAGCAACATGTTTGCAGAAACTAAAAGCATGCTGAAATCCAAAACGACGTCACATTCCGTCGTGCTAAAATGTGCAGCAGGGATACTCTGAAATGGTCCGATTTTAATAGACTTCAACTCTATTATCACTGATCAGTATCAAGTGAAGGTAAACGGCCGTAACCTTCGAATCTAAAATCGCAGACGGTTAGTGTTAATTTCGATATTTTTTAGTTTTCATCGAATTAAACTACTTTTTAGTTGACTTTATAGTATACTTGATGCTTTTCATATTACCCTTATGTATGTGATAGGTATACAAATTAAAATATGTCCAGTAAGAGAAAATATTATCTACCCAACTCAAGAAAGGATAGTTGATGCAAAACCACATTTCTATATGTAATTTTACATGTAGATTCCAAATATGATATCAGTTTGAATGAATAGTGCATTTTTAATGAACTAAATCAAGATTATTTCCACTTGCATCTGGGATATTGTCTTTGTTACCAAAATCATTTGACATGCGTTGGTTACGGCTCAAGGGCGCCTCTTGAGAAGTGCAAACATTGCTGGACATGAAAGTGCCCTGTGCGAGAATATATCCCAGGACCTTCCAATCCAGAGTCCGAAACTCTACCCCTACTTGCCATCGAGGGTAATCATTACACCATTGTTTTTGCATATAACCAAAGGTCATTGGATGGACTTGGACGTTAGAGTCGATACACCGAGGTACTAACAGTGAAGTGTTGATTAGAAATGTGCAATATCATCCTATAAGAACTAAGGAATATAAGTTTGATTTTAGACAAGAACGTTGTTATAGATATTTATTTATTTTGAGGTGTCTATAGCCTTATGACATCTCTGCAATGACTTCCATTCCAGAGTCCAAAGCTCTATACCTGAGCCTCCAAGACTTGATCAACGCAGTTGAGCTGTAACTTGCTATTGAGGATCATTACACGTTGTCGGTTCATAAAACCCGCAGTGAAATTACATGTAAATTACACAGAAACTAAGGGCAACCTTTTTGTATCATTCTTTAACGTTTCTATACATGAATTTATATTTCTGTCTATCACGATTCCAAGAAAACCGCCAATTGGATTTATTTTAAATTTGCTTAGATATACACTCCCCTCCATATGTTTGTCAACCTTAGCGCCCCCCCCCCCCCCCCATTGAACTACGTGTTAAAGCCTCTTTACCTTTGAATTTTTTATTTACTTAACCTGCGATGAAATTATTTATACTATTAATGGAAACGTAATTTGACTTTATTTTCAATAACTCCAAATTTTTCTCAGCTTTATTCCACAATTACAATAGGTCGAAAATTGATGATAAATTTGATGAATTTTTGAAAATCGTCATTCCAATGTTAACCAATAGGAAATGGTGGGTTCGGGGCAAATCAGAAATCAGGATATCTATTCAGTAAACGATTTAGCAAAAACTATATTTATATAGAAAATTGAATTGTTTAGTTTACTTGCTGAATACTAAAGTTACAGAGCTTCAAAGTCATTTTTGAAAATCATTTTTCGCCTCCTGTGTTATTTCAATGGGAGAGGTTTTTTGAAAAACAATTTTGACTTTAAAGACCTATAAGTTTGTTGAACCTGAAGAAACGTATCAATTATTTGTCAAATAAAGTTAGCAAATTAATTGCCAGCATAACTTGTATTTTTGCAGGGACTCGGATGGATGGATGAATGGATATTCTGCCATATGACTTGTGACAAACCTACCATTTCCCATTGGTTAACATGGGAATGTCGATTTTCAAAAATTCATCAAATTTATCATCAATTTGCGACCTATTGTAATTGAGGAATAAGAAAAGTCATAGTACATGTACGTTTCCATCAATAGTATAAGTATTTTCATCGCAGGTTAAGTAAATAAAGAATTCAAAGGTAAAGAGGCTTTAACACATAGTTCAATGGGGGAGCTAAGGTTGCTAAACTTATGGAGGGGAGTGTAGGAGAATATCACGTTATAGTGCTGATTAAATGTTTGATGGAAATCTCATCTTGAATATACTTCATCATTATATTTCTTCTCATCACGATTCTATGAATTCGCTCATTGAATAACTTTAGATGTACACGTATTAGAATGCAAATGTAAAACCCCTAGAGCTGATCATCAATAGTACATATCTGAGCGCCATTTTGAATCGCTTTATAAAAGTGCTTTTATGAATTGACATCGTTCTTGGATAAATTATTTGATTTCCTTTTTTTGAATAACAACTTTTTGCGATTGACAAGACACAAGCGGAAATAATCCTGATATAAGTCATCAAATATTCCAAATTTTCTGTCAAATAAAACACCTAAAATGTGGCTTTGAAAATTGTTAATGACAACTTTGAAATTTTAATTTTTTTTAGGTCAGATGAGCCCATATTATGAAATCGTGAACAGTGAAATTATATATGTTCATGTATTATAATTTTTTCTTTAAATGACATATTTTCAATTTTCAAAAGGGTTATATCAACATTTATCCACTAAATCTATTGAAAATTCGAGTTAATGGGAACTATTTGTTGCTTTATCTGATACATTGTATGGTCTGCCGTAGTATCTGACCCGAATAAGCCACCTGGTGGTGAAACCGAGTACTACCTACTGGCACCTTAGCTTGGTAAGTGAATATGTATTGCATTACATATGTATTGTATTGCATTATGTATTGTATTGCTTTGTATTGCATTGTATCAATGTCAAATAGTATTTTCTTAACCTCGATGAATATCTCAAAAACATCAGGATGAGTTTGTGCATTTCCCCCTTTCGTGACTCACGCGTACGTACGTACGTATATGCATGACAATCAATTCCTAAACATGAGATGAATCACACCAAGAAAAATCGTTTTCACTTAATATAAATATACTATTATACTATACTACAATTCTATAATATCTTGCAATACATTTTTCACTGTCTGTACCCTTTTCAAGAATGTCTTCGAGCTTTTAATCAAGAGTTTTATCTCAAGATAATTATTCGTATTAGGGAATATGGGGAAAAACACGTATGGCCTTCTGACTTTTGGGCATTTATATCTTGTGGAAGGATTTGACACACAAGCTCAATAAATCAGTGCAATTAGCCTTTGGATATTGATAGAAATAAACCCAAGTTTAAGTTTCGGTTGATATTGTGACCATATGAATGTAGAATGCAATCTCGAAATTGTTTCAAGTTAACTTTAATTAAAAAACTTATGGTGAATTGAATTTGAT